AGATGACATGTCCCCTCTGAGGGACTGTTTCTCTCTCCAAAGACTTTTATTTTGACAGGCGTGTTGACTTTGTGTCCAGAGGTGTTTGTAATGGCAGAGAATCGGCTCATATTTTAAAAAATAACTTTCACAATTCAAATAAAAATGCAAATACTATGTTATTTATACGTATTGTCACTGCAACCCAGTACCAAATTAACCAAAAATGCCCAGTAGGTGGCGGTAATGCAACTGTAAAGATTTAGATTAGCCAGTAAAGCCCAAAGAAGACACAAGCCGAGAGTATTAGCAGGGTTAGCTTAGCCTACTGGTGCTTACTGGAACAACAGACTCTAAACCAACACTAAACGCAACAGGACTTCAAACATTAGGACCAGGAACGGCTAACATCTGCGTAAGGCCGTTTTTTCAAACTCTGTTTCTACTGACACCTATCTGTAATGACGTGCACTTATAAACCTAAATATTTCCATATCTTTGGTGCAAAAGTTTTAAGTTTTAACTTTATTTTGAGGATTAATTTCACGTAAAACAACTTTACTTTGTGCACTTAGCACCACCTACAGGCCAGGGAAAGGGAGCTACACGCTCAATGTTACCAAATATAGAATGAACAAAAGTGAATACTTCCTTTTTAACCACTGAGGAGAGTCATATGGCTTTCATTTTGAAATTCTACAGGAAAAAAACTAAAAACTAACAAAAAAAAAAACCAAAACCAAAAAAAAAAAATACTGATAGACTTTGGTCGACTACTACTTACGACAACCCTTGTTGTTGAGCTAAAGAAAAAACCCAAAAATATCAGTGTTTCTCTACATTAGGGATTATTTATATTATATATATATTTAGATATTTACAGTCTAAATCAAACACAACTTTTTAAAATCTTCCGTTCGTTTTTCCTCATGTCTTTGTTTGGTTGTGTTTGATGTCTCACCTGGTCAAACTGTGTCGGTGCAGCACTTTTGTTCATGACATGGTTGAACTTATTCATTTAAAACATTTTGCAGTTCACGTCAGTGAAACTAACTCCCACCGTCGGCTCCGTCATCTAAACCTGGAGCAGTGAAGCTGCTCATCCCTTCATTCAGGGACGGAGGGTTTTCATTCATTTCTTAGCGGTTTCGATCCGTCCCTAAAAAAAGTTTTTTGAACCTGAATACTCAGCAGTTGCAGTACAATACTCAGCAGTTGCAGTCAGCAGTTGCAGTACAACTCAGCAGTTGCAGTACATGTGTGTACAGGGAACTAGAAAAAAAATGAAAAGTTTGAGTCTTACCAGCAGCAGAAGGTGAAGTCTTCAGACACCTTTGGTAAATGAAGCGTGGTAACACTCCTCTCTCTGCGAACACACACACACACACAAACACACACACACAGGGCTCAGATCAATGAAGAGTTCCTTTAACACTGGCGTCTGGATCAAGACAAAGACAAGTCTCTCTCTCTCTTTCTATGTCTCTCTCTCACTCAACTCTCGGTGACCAGGACTAAAGCAGTTTGCCGGCTACTTTTGTCCTACAACTGAGGAAGTTGCTGGTGAGTCAAAGTCCCGCCTTCCACTGAAAAAAAGGAGAGAGGGAGAGAGAAAAAAAACCCCATCCCTGCCTCCCTCCCCCCCCCCCCCC